TTGTTGTTTATAATTTGTACAATTAACCTCCCTGTGGTTCGACCCCGGTCTTGCCGAGTTATTTATTACTTCGACACTCTTGCACTTGGGAAAAGATATCAATCTTTTAGTCGTGTCATGATGCGTCTTGTCTACGAGCTACAGTAGAAGTAGCCTTGCGCTTGTTCTTAGCCATTTGAAAACAAGAAAAGGACAGGCGGGAAAAGAGAAAAAGTGGGGGGAAACCAGGATGAAGAGAAATTAGTAAAGGGAGGCAGGGAACGGAAAGAAGATGAGGAATGGAACAAGGAAGATCAATCAGCAAGGGGAGCTCTTTTTTTTTTATCAAATGTAAGAATTATATAGATTAAAAAGAGCAAGGCAAGCTTGCAGAACAGGCTGAAAACTAGCAGTACAATAAGATATACATATCCAGACCAAAAAAAAAAAAAAGGAACAGACTCCCTTAAACAAACCATAGTAAGACAAGCTTACAAAATATAAAGTAAAAGGAACAAACGCCCTTGAATAACTAAAAAAAATAAAGGGAACAGACCCCTTTAAACAGAAGGGACAATCCACTTCACCATAAAAAGGAACACCATCATCTATAATGGAGGGAATTTTCAGCCATCCATGAAGAGACAAATAGTAGCCATCCATACAAAGAATGCCTATCAATTCAGAGATGTAGAAAGTCGTCCTTACCAAGATAGAGATAGCCCGGCTAGGCTCCAGCTAGAACATATTAGTACTCTAGCTGCCAAGAACAGGGGGTAACAGAGAACATGGGAGTATATAGAGACAGATGGCTAACGATGAGCCACAAAGTCAGGATCAGTGTCAGCATAAGCAAACAGAAGCTGAATCACCAAGCAAAAAAATGTAGGCCACATGTATAGGCATGCAGACACCTTTCATCATCACGTTCATAGAATGAAGCAAAAGTAATCAGAAGCTTCCACCCATCCAAATTAAATGAACCAAGTTAAGCATATTAAAGCACTAACAGCCAACGAGCAGCTGCTCCACCCATGCAGAAATGAGGAAGCATACACGTCCAACACGTACAAGTTCATGCAGAGAAATTGTTTTAGCATACCGATGAAGAGAATAGCCAATCTGCCCCCCATCCATAATAAATGCCCTACTCAGCCCTGCAGACACAGCTCAACTATGTTAGATATAACGCTAGTCATTAATGCAAAAGGCACAATCTATTGTCAACCATGCAGAGAGGAGGTCCATCCCAATTACAGCCGAGAAGATTGAAACAATCAGCCAATAAATGGTGGACAGCTGCTCACCCATGCAGAACCGCCAAGCATGTCTGGCCCTCAACAGAGAGAAATTATAGAGGCCAAACCATCCCGCCAGCACAACTAAATGACATCACTACTCCATGCAACCAATAGCCAATAGCACCTATTACCCCATGCAGGGACGTGGGAATACCATGCAGAGGAGAAGGAGATACTGTTCCATGCAAAGACACCAAATTATCCATGCAGAGGCTAGGGAATTGCAGCCAACCATAAGACAGTATATCATTTCATGCAGCTGAGGAGATGCAGCCAACCATAGACAATAGATCATTCATGCAGCGTCACACAACAAAACCCATGCAGAAATAGAGCAATCCCAACTCCACCATGCGAAGACACCAAGGCATCTATGCAGAGGCTCGACACTAAGGCATCTATGCAGAGGCTCTTCCACCAATATGGCCATGTAGAGGCTAAGGAGATGCAGCCAATCGCAGCCATAGGATAAAACTATGTCATGGAAGACACCAGGACTCCCAAACCACATTCACCCAAGAGATTGGGGTTCCTTTGGTTCTCAAGTATTCATAAGCATTAGCTGAAAAAAGCTTTGTAGAATTAGCCCAACTTTGCAACATGGAGATAACTGCTGGTTGCCCTCCACAGTCATCAAGGAGATGGTCGCGAAGTTTAATGAAAGATTTCCATAAGGGGGAGGAGGTTTGTTGCAAGGGAACTGTCCAGATGTTAGTGTCTTGCAAATAAAAATGGTGCACCCAACGAATCCAAATAGAGTCAGCTTTCAGATGAATATTCCATAACTACTTCACAAGAAAGCAATTGTTCCTTGCTTTAATGTCAAATAGACCAAGACCTCCTTCAGCTTTTGGTAGGCAGATGTTTTTCCAAGCAACCAATGCAGATGCATTCCTAACTGTATTACCAGTACAGAGAAAGTTCCTGCAAATACAAGTAATTTGATTGATAACACTCTCAGGCAGGGGAAAGATACTAAGCCAAAATTGAACCATTCCATATAAAACAGAGCCAATTAGTTCCAACCGCCCAGCATAAGATAAGTTTTTTCCCATCCAGCTTTGAATAGCAGTTTCAAGTTGATGCAGGAGGGGATAGAACTGGCTAGCCAAAAGCCTGTGGGGGCTGAGAGGGACCCCAAGGTATTTGAAAGGAAAGCTGCCTTCTGAGAAACCAGAATCTTGGAGGATAGTTTGTTTCAAGCTATCGCCAACACCACCAAAATATATAAAGGATTTCGATGCATTAATATGAAGTCCTGAAGCTCAGCCAAAAGCTTGAAGCTGCTCAACTAGAATTTGGACAGAAGAACAATCCCCTCGGTATAATAAGAGAACATCATCAGCAAATGCAAGATGACAAATATGATGAGGCGCACACTTTGGGTGAAAGTGAAAAACTTGCTGTTGATTGGCCATTCCCAGCATACGGGAGAAGTATTCCATACATATTAGGAAGAGATAGGGAGAGAGAGGGTCACCTTGCCAAACTCCACATTTTCCAGGGAAGAAACCATAAAGGTTGCCATTAACAACAACAGAATAGGAGGGGGTTTCCACACAAAGCATCACCAGATGAACAAATCACTAGGAAAAGCCTAATAGATGGAGGAGAGCTCTAAGAAAAGGCCATTGCACTGAATCAAATGCTTTCTTGAAGTCAACTTTGATGAGGCATCGGGGGGAGGTCCTCTTCCTTGGAGGGCACATCGTAGTCGTCCTGCAAGAATTTTGGAGATGACTTTGTAAACCATGTTGCAACATGAAATGGGCCGAAAGTCATTTGCAGAATTAACATTAGCAGATTTTGGAACTAGAGCAATAATGGAATGATTGATCTGCTTTAGAATCCATCCAGAGGAAAAGAAATCCTTGACTGCTGCACAGAAATCAGCTCCCACAATATCCCATGACTGTTTGAAAAAAAGAGAAGAGAATCCATCAAGGCCAGGAGCTTTATTGTTTCCAACATTGAAGAGAGCTTCCTTGATGGCTTCATTGGTGACAGGAGCAAGAAGAAAATCAGATTGATTAGTATCCAGACAAGGCCCACTATGAACAACTTCCTTATCAATAGGAGATATAGTCGAGGAGGTGCCAAGAAGACTCTGATAGAAATGAAGAAATTCAGCACCAACTTCATCTATAGTAGTAGTTAAATCCCTATTGCTACACTGAAGAGCAGGAATTAGTAGTAGTTAGATCCCCGTTGCTACACTGAAGAGCAGTAATGAAGCTTTTCCTATGTCTGTGGCTCATTAGAGCATGAAAAAAACTTGTACCTCTATCACTGTCCTTGAAAAAAGTGCACTTCAGCTTCTGAGAGAAGAAGGCCTTCTCAGCAGATTTAAGATTAAGAAGATTAATCTTAAGTGCATTAACCCGGTTCAGGAGAGATATATCATCTCTGAAATCATGCAAGAGGTGTTGGTATTGCTCCAAGTCAGCCTCCATTCTAGCAACTCTCTCTGAGATGTGGCTGAAATGCAACTTGTTTAGACTCTTTAGGGGTTGTTTTAAAGATTTGAGCTTCCTACACAAGATAAACATGGGAGAGCCTTCGATTTGGAGTTGCCATCCATCAGAAATCAGGCCTGCATAGTCCGAGTGGTCAACCCACATATTGGAAAACTTAAAAGGCCGACGACCTGGAGGAGAACTGCCACCTATGCGAACATGGGCTCCTGAGTGATCAGAGAAAGCTCTTGAAGGTTGGAAATACACATGAGAAGTGAGCTGAAGATTGTTCCATAAAGGATTGGCTAGGACATGATCAATTTTAGTCCAAACAGTCCCATTGGACCAAGTATAATGACAACCAGTGTAGTTTAGATCTAAAAGCCCAAGCTCTGAGCAGCATGCTCTAAAATCAGAGACTTCATAGGAAGAGACCGGTTCACCATTATATTTGTCATCCTGAGAAAGAGTGGAGTTGAAATCTCCCAACACAAGCCAGGGACCAGTTGAAGCCCAAGATTTGAGGCCATCCCACAGAGTTCTACGGCCAGAAATGGTATTGTAACCATAAATAAAGGAAGCAGCGAAAATAATATGCGAAGATAAGCATCAAATGGAAACATGAATAAACTAGGGAGAAGAATCAAGCACATCCACATGAACAGTAGAAGGATTCCATAACACAATCACTCTAGTAGTGCTAGCAGCGCCCATATTAGAGACTAGTTTCCAGTGCTTCAGCCGAAACCTGTGCATAAACTGAAGCTTGGAAGAAGACAATTTGGTCTCCAGGAGACCACAGACATCAAATTTATGTTTTTGCATGAGACGAACCAGCTCATACTGTTTCAGAGGACTGTTAAGCCCTCTGACATTCCAACTGAATAATAACATTACATAGGAAGGGGTGGAGGGGGAACCCTACCACTCCCAGCTGCTCTAGATGGACGCCTTCTCTGACCACATATGGTGGTTACACCAACAGGAACCACATTAGAAGCTTTCTTGTATGGGACTACTTCAACTGGTTCTTTGGCATTATGGATGATGGGGAGGTTGTAAACAGAGGTATGAATACCTCCTGAAGATGAGTTAGCAGGTGCTTTACCTCTAGTGGGGGTGGTTGAAACCTGCTCAGCTACGGTTGTGGCACTAACAGGTATGCTAGGAGATTTCCTTGCTTTCTTGCTTTTAACAATTTCCCATCCATCATTGGCCACGACAACTTCAGTGGTCATAGGGTCATAGTTATATGAAGACTCCCCAATCTGGCCTTTAGGTTTCTCAAGGTTAGGCTCTACAACAGACCCTAAGCGATCAAAAACACTACGACCCCTGCTTGCTACTATAGGGGGATGGTTGTTCTTGCCCAAAGGTCTTGCCACCTCCGGTGCAGGGTGGGAGGTGCAAGTTCCCGTGTTGTGTCCAAGGACTTTACACAACTTGCAAAATCTAGGAAGTGTCTCATATATCACCGGTTGATTCAGAGTGGCTCCATTCGGTAAGTTAATGGCAATAGAAGATTTGAGATCAGCAAGTAAATCCAGTTCAACAACGACTCTAGCATAGGAAATTCTCGACATGCTAAAGGTGAGCTGGTCACTTTGTATAGGCGTGCCTAATTTGCTAGCAATCTTAGAAAGGCACCTAGGAGACCAGCATTTCAACGGCAAATTTGGGAATTTAACCCATATAGGAACATAGGCCATCTCATCAGTTCCAAAATCAAAGTACTCTGGCATAGCTTTGATAATTAGTGGCCGGCCATATATCAAGTAAGGTCCATTAGCAAGAACAAGTTTATCATCAACATTGTTAAATCTATAGACTAACCAGCCAGATTCATGAATAGTCAAAGAGGCTTCACACTTCCAAGAACTGGATATAATGTTATTCAATGCCTTAAAACCAGGCGACTTTCTAGCGACATAGCCCACAATACATAATTGCCATACATCATAGTTATGATCTAAATCATCAGAAGACAAGTCACAGGGTAAATCATTGCAAGAAGATGAGAAATGCGGTAATTTAGGACCTGTGATAGTGTTGCGGTTGGTGGAAAATAAATCTCTCCATTTCTCAACAAGTGCAGTAGAAGGAGAGGTGCTTGAATGAGGAGCCACTATAGGTGAGGAGACTATAGTTGGAAGATTATGATCTATCGTAGCAAGAGATGATATATTGTGATGAGGAGTAGGCACAGGAGAAGGTCCCTTCTTTGATGAAGTAGCCACTGTAGCTACTGATTTCCCAGTACCACTCAAGGGTGAAACCCTCAAAACAGGGGAGCGAAAAAACTTGGAACTTCTTCCAGATGCAGAGTAATCAACTTCATGTCATCATAATCATCCTCATCAGAGCAGTCCTCTACAATCACATGATCAGGGGTAGAGGGAGAGAGGACAAACGGTTGAGGAACAGACCCTTCCTCAGCAAGAATTAGAAATTTATCAGGACTGGACCCACCAGCCACCGCTGTAGGAGGGGGTGGGAATCAGAGGGGAGGGGAGAAGAGGAGGAGGCGGAGAAGGAAGGGGAGGAGCAGCCAGAGCAAGAACAGGGTTATCATGTAACTGTTGACTTTTTGCAGGGGGTCGAGGTGGATTGCGCTTGTTTTTGGCCATGAAGAAAGTGGAGAGTAGGAGATAAGTAGGGAAGGGGGGGAAGCTACAGTAACTGAAAATTCAAATTTTCAGCTGGCGCCATGAACAAAGGAAACTATTCCTGTGGGGGGAAGGAGAGCTTCTCTCTCTTGTTTCTCTCTCAAGGCACAGCTACTGAAGGGGGAGCTCTTTCTTTTCTTTTCTTTTTTTATCAGAATGTAAGTATATATTTAGATCAAAAGTAACCATGCTGGGACCAGCAAAATTCTAAGTCTGTACACAGGTGCACAAGCAAAGGGAGGACAAACTCCTACAACAAAGAAAGAAAAAGAAACACAGGGATGGGAACATGCTCCCACAAAATAGGGTGGCCATACAAGGCCATGCACAGTTCAAACAAATA